GGCAACAACGATATCTAGTCGAGTGTCGTTGTTGAAATCACCAACAACTACAGATTGTGGCCAAGAACCAGCTGAATACCTTGTTTGATTTTCAAAAGAACCATTTCCATTTCCATTTCCAAGAAGGACACTCACATCATTGCTATAATAATTGGCGACAGCGATATCTAGTCTAGTGTCGTTGTTGAAATCACCAACAACTACGGATGCTGGAGAAGAGCCAGCTGAATACCTTGTTTGATTTTCAAAAGAACCATTTCCATTTCCAAGAAGAACACTCACATCATCGCTACCAGAATTGGCGACAACGATATCTAGGCGAGTGTCGTTGTTGAAATCACTAACAACTACAGATGCTGGAAAAGAGCCAGCTGAATACCTTCTTTGATTTTCAAAAGAACCATTTCCATTTCCAAGAAGGACACTCACATCATTGCTATCCCTATTGGCGACAACGATATCTAGCCGAGTGTCGTTGTTGAAATCACCAATAGCTACACATCGTGGCCAAAAGCCAGCTGAATATCTTCTTTGATTTTCAAAAGAACCATGATTGTACGCAACAAAGATATCCACATGATTACTTCCACCGTTAGCAATCACGATCTCCGATCGTTTGTCATTATTAAAATCACCAGAAGCCATCACTAACGGAGGTGAATCAAAACTAATTTGATAACTTGTTTGAATTGCAAATTTTCCGTTTCCACTTCCAAGCATCAGATCTACATGCTTGGTACCATTATTGGCTAAAGCAATATCCGCTATGCTGTCACCATTGAAGTCGCCAACCGCGATGGAAATCGGATGAGAATTCGCACCAGTGCTGAACATCATTTGGTTTTCAAAACTACCAGTTCCATATCCGACAAGGACGCCGATATTATTAGTGCCATAATTAGCTAAGACGATATCCAGGTTAGTATCGTCGTTAAAATCCCCAATCACTAAGCATTGTAGGCTAGATCCACCTCCAGATGCATACGCCATTTTATATGCTATCGCTCCTCTATTATATTGCAGTAGGACACTCACATCATTGCTACCCGAATTGGCGACAACGATATCTAGTCGAGTGTCGTTGTTGAAATCACCAACAACTACAGATTGTGACCCAGAGCCAGCTGAATACATTGTTTGATTTTCAAAAGAACCATTTCCATTTCCAAGAAGAACACTCACATCATTGCTCCGAGAATTGGC